GTCCTCCCCGGGGGGCTCCTGCTTGATAGTGACGCGGCTCGCCCCGGCGCCTTTGCCCTTCTCGCGGTCCGGCCGAGCCTCGGCCTCGCCGCCGTAGCCGCTGTCGGTGTCCGTGTCGTTCTCGGCGGCGAGCTCGGCGCTGGGCTGAGTCCGCTGGATGACCGGGACGCAGTGGGCGAGGGGCTCAAGCTTCTGCCCGGCGCGCTCCAGGCAGGGGGCGGCCGCAGACCCTGCGGGGGCGGCGGCCGAGGGCGCGCCAGTGCCTTTGCTCAGAGGAACCTGTTGAGTCAACAGCTGAGGGGTGGGCAAGAACTGGGTGGCCACGGCGTGCAAGTGGTTGATCAGCTGGACACACCGCTGCTCCCTGGGCGTCCAGCTCTCAAACCGGGAGAGGTATTGCAAGACTTCTTTGGCGCATGTTTGAAATCCGGAGTGGAACGCATCCAAGTCGGACTGAATGGGCGATTTCAGAGATCGCTCCCCTAGGATGAGGAAGGGGTGGGGGGGGGGGCAGAGGAATGGAGGCAAGAAGAAAAATACCGACGTTAAAACATCTGCTTATCACGTGGGCCCTACATTGACTAAAGTGATCTCGGTTTTTCCTCTGTATTCGGGTGATATAATCCACTGGTTGCCGGGCGGGGGGGGGGGGGGTGGGGAGCAGGGGGGCGCTCTACTCCCAGCTGAAAAACCAAAGTGGAGAGCGCAAACGCCACTTTAAATAAAAATCTGAGTTCTGCTGAAAGCCTCTAGGATGCTTCGGGAAATGGGCACTTTCCAATGAAGGGAAAGTATAAGCAATTTAACAAATGAGACTGCGCTCATGGGCCCAAGGAAGGAGGAGGGGGTGGGGGAAGAGTCCTAACACTGCCCCTCTGTGGGCTACCCGGCTTCATCAGGGTGGGTTGGCCTCCCTGAACTGACTTACCATTCTGTAAAGCAATTATCTTCTGATGCTGCTGCTCGGTTAAGGCTGTTAAAGCTTTTAAGTGTTTCAAAGTTAATTCCAATACTACCGCTTTCTCCAGATGCCCCAGAGTCTGCAGTGGTGCAAAAAAGAAAGGGGGCACTTTGGTTACTTAAAAACACACATTTGGCTCAATCGGCTCTCCACTCAGCACAGCAACTTAAGCAAACACTTTGAAAGAAGTACTATTCCTATACTTCTTAAGCTTTCCAGAAGACGAGTTATAAATGATTTCTTGCCTTCAGTTGTGAGCACCTACTCTTGAGTTTGTGGGAAACTCTACACTACAGCCCAAGTCGTAAGGCATATGATATTTACATTTATTCTTGTATCTCTGGGAGTAGTACCAAGCTATTAACACGCCCTTGGAGAGCAGCAAAGAATGAAAATGTACATCTTACTGTCAACTTCAGATGTTCAGGCAGTAAATCTTTCAGCTGAGCAATGCATTCATTAATTCGATCTCTTCTTTTCTTTTCTATTAATCTGTGCGGTAATTTGTAGGTATCCTTAATATACGACAATCATGGAAAAGAGAAAACAATAAGCTAAACATTTATTGGATAAAACAATACCCCTCCCCAAAACCCCCATATTATGTGATAAACTATGCCAAGAAAGCTTTTCCTTTGGACTGTTCTGAAATGCAATTTGAATTCAGGTATGATGTTTAATCTCCCCCTGAGAGTATCCAGCAAACCACTTAAAATTCACAGTTGGGGAAGCTCAAGGGCTGGAATATATTTGCGGGCAGAGCTTCGCTGTGAAATCAATGGCCCTAATTAACTATCCAGGCAGGTTATGGGGAAACATCGGAAACTTACACTTACCTTGCTATCGTCTCGCTTCATGCTCCTTTTGGGCTTACACATATACAAAGAGGAATAGTCCAGTCTGCAAAACAGAAATCAGCATCAGGCACCCATTCGGGGAGGGGCACTGCCGTTGCCCGCTCCATACCACTTTCTGGAGAAGGAAAAAAAAAAAAAAAATCAAACTGAAGCCTAGACAGATATTCGCAAGGGTGCGTGCACCTTACCCTATAAAATCTCTATGTTCCAGTAACTGTCTCTCTTGCAAATGAGGAATTCCTTCGTCCATGTTCAACCGCTGTCCGTTTCCTCTGTTTCGATTTTTGGGGTTCTGTTTTATAATCTGTGGGACGATAGCTTTGGGAGATCTTGGGGGGATCTGTGCGTCTCCAGTCTCTCTCTCTCTCTCTCCCTTCTTCAGTGCAGTGTTGAAAGTGTGAAGCAGTTGGTTCCCCCCCCCCTCCCACCGCGCTCGCTCTCTCGCACACACGCACACACACGCACGCACACTCGCGCCGGCCCCACTGCGCTGGTAGTTTGGTCTCACTCCGGGCAGTGTTTGGCCACAGGGCACGCGCGTCGCCGGCCAGACCAGCACCCAGCTCACGTGCGGAACGTACCATCCGCGGTCCAGCCCGGAGGGGGGCGGGGGAGGAGGGGCCGGGCCGGGGCGGGGGGGTGTCGGGAGCAGGCTGCGAGGGAGGGCGAACGGCAGGAGGGGGCGGGGACACCTGATCAGGGCCACCGGAAAGGAAAAACAACTTCAGCCAAGCTATTCATCTTCCCAAAGGCGTTGCAGTCAGCTGGGGGAGGGGGAGGGGACGCCGGGGGTGCGGGGCAGCCAGGGCTTCCTGGGCTTGGAAATGCTACTCCTTCAATTCGCCCGTCATTACGGTGCAGGAACGTGAACGTGGCTTTTTGCTTCGCCACCGACTGCGCTGTTGGTTTGGACCAGAGAAAGGAAAGAGAAAGAGAATTCGCGGTGGGTAAACTTCAGTCCCGAAGGAAAATTTGGAGACTTGTTTGCTCACCGCTCAGTGGCCTGGGGGGCGGGCTGGCCCAGGTTGGAGGTGGCCCCCTAATGGGGCAACTTGAAATCCGCTCCCTGAAGGATTTAAGATAAATGGAAATGTAGTCACTGGGTCAGAATGTCGCAATCCAAGTGTCTTTCGGCGACACGGTGTCCCTGGGCCACCCAAACTTCCCGCAGGAGCCGGAATTGCGGTGCCACTAATCACAGAAGCAGATGACGACGTTTGGGGCCTCTGGTGCTCCCAGAGGAACGCGGCGGGAGAGAGGGGGGAGGAGAGGACGAGAGGGGCTACCGCGGAAAAGCAATGCAGCTTTATCACTCGCCAGCTAAACTCCGTCGCCCCTCATCGCCTCGGGTGGTGCTGCGTGCTTCTCCTCCCCACGCCCCCCCCCCGGGATAAGCGACGCTGGGAGTGTGCAGAACCCACGTTTACTACCGCTGGCACCTCCAAAGCCTCCCTCCTTAATCCTGTCTCAAACGGGTACCAGCACAGGGCCAGCAACGTGATCCGACCTGCCGCTGCTGCCACATCACTGCGCGGGGAACCCGTGCGCGCGCGCGCGCTCGCCCTGGAGCGGCGGCGCCCGGTGCTGGGAAGCACAAGCCAGCACGAGCCGGGTTACCTATCCCCAGAGCCATCCCGGGAGCATGACTCACTGCTATCGAGAGTTACCGAGAGGTGCCCGGAGATGCGCACTGCCCACGCCGCCCGACGCAGCGGGCGGCCAGGGGCCTTGGAGGCCACGGGCAAGCTCGTCCTACGGGACTCCCAGGGCTCCCGCCCCGCTGCTGCCGCTACTCGGCTCTGCTGGGGGTGGATAGAGAGAATATATGTTGATCTCTCTTATATAAGTAGAAAGACATAAAACCAAAAGTCTTTCCTTCCTGCAGCAAACGTAAGATTCACATTCTGGGTTATCCCCGAAACCTTCATCACTGCCAACGGCACGTGAACCAAGGGGAGAAGTACGGCGAAAGCGCACGCACCCGGGCGCAGCAGGGACCGGGGCCGTCGCTACGTGTCCCCCCCCTCCCCCCAACCCTACCCCTGGCCCCGGCCCGCCCCGCAGAGCGCGGGTTCCGGGGACGGATCTGGGTCGCGGGAAGCGGCGGCTGGGAGGAGGTCACGTGTCTGCGGGAGTCGCGTCTCCTCCCAGCCTCCAGGAGCCGCCCGGGCCGCGGCCGCCGCGCGCGCTGCTGCAGTCTCCAGAGTCCTGGGCGGAGACGCGCCGCGTCTGGCTTCGTGACTCCCGCGGCTGCGGCGGCGGCGGCGGCCCAGGCTCACCCCGGCAAGAGGAGACGCTCGCGGTCTGTCCACTTCATCTGTGTAGAGAGCCCTTTAAGGTCTCTCGACTTCCTCAAATAGGCGGACGTAGTTTGCATCAAACAGACAATTTTTATAATGATAACACTTAAATAATGTTTAAATACTGCCTTTATCTTAAACCTCCATCCAATCTCTCTCGTTTCCAAGTCATTGGGTAGTTAATTCTCTTTAATGGGGAGGGCAATTTGATGCACTAAGAGCGGCGTATCCTTGCAGTGCTATCCTCTTGTTCTAAATTGGCCAAAAAACGGGGGTTGGGGAGTGGTTGGGGAGGATGCCTTTAAGATGAAACCTCCCCTTATAGGTTTGTAAATGTTTGAAGTAGGAAGAGGGTATAAATATTTGCTCCACAGCTAAATTTTCACTTGAAAAGCATAGCTGGAGTATTTAGTGAAAATAAAATAAAGACTGGATCACTTCATCTTGGCCTTGTTGGTAGAGCAGACAAGACACAAGGCAGACGTCTGACTAGGGCAAACCTTAGGGACTAATTCTGGGGAGGACTCTAAAGCAACTTAGAACAGGAGGAAAAGGGCGGGGGTTGGGGGGGGAGAACAGGAGGGAAAGGGAAAGAAGACTAGTGGATCATGGGTGTGTTAATTTTGGATGTACACTTCTCATAATTTGAAGACATAGAAGCCTGTTGCTGCAAATGAAGCCTTTTGTGTTATTACTTTGATCTCCTCTCCCCATCATCCTGTCCCAAGCTTCCCTACTTCTGTACACATTTTTGTTTTCTCTTCCATTCCTTTCTCTTTCTGATACCCAGCCCAAACTGTGAATGCAGTCATTTCTAATTTTTGGTTTCCTTTGTTATTCTCAGTTTTCCGTTTCTTCTGTCTTTCCTTTCCATGCCCACCATTTTACTCATTTCCCTTTTTCTTTTCTTTTCCCTTATGTCTTCCTCTTCCTACCTTTTCCCCATGAAATATCTGTTTTTTCTCCTTTACAGTTTTTCTTTTATCTCTTATTGGCCTTTTTTTTTTTTCTTTAACCATTCACCTTGATAACTCTTTTTTTTTTTTTTTTTTTTTTGGGACAGAGAGAGACAGAGCATGAACGGGGGAGGGGCAGAGAGAGAGGGAGACACAGAATCAGAAGCAGGCTCCAGGCTCTGAGCCATCAGCCCAGAGCCCGACGCGGGGCTCGAACTCACGGACCGCGAGATCGTGACCTGGCTGAAGTCGGACGCTTAACCGACTGCGCCACCCAGGCGCCCCCATCCTAGTGCTTTTATTTTTTATTTTTAATTTATTTTTAATTTATTTTTTTTAACGTTTATTTATTTTTGGGACAGAGAGAGACAGAGCATGAACGGGGGAGGGGCAGAGAGAGAGGGAGACACAGAATCGGAAACAGGCTCCAGGCTCTGAGCCATCAGCCCAGAGCCCGATGCGGGGCTCGAACTCACGGACCGCGAGATCGTGACCTGGCTGAAGTCGGACGCTTAACCGACTGCGCCACCCAGGCGCCCCCCTTGATAACTCTTCTTGCTTATCCACTTCCTTTAAAACCTGAGTCCTACTCCTCTTCTCAGATTCTCACCTTCTGGAATATGAGACATAGTTTAATATTTGCTGCAAGGAGGGTATAACAATAGCTAACAACTATGTGGCATTTACAATTAGAGAACCAGAAACTACACTAAGGGGCTTTTAATGTATGAACTCATTAATTTTTCCCACAACCTTGTCAGGTAGATACTATTATTGTCTCCATTCTACAGATGAGAAAATAGATATGTAGAGAGATTTCAAAAATGTGCCTATGCTCCCAGACCCAAGATATAAGCACAAGTGGGCTCCAAAGTCTGTGCTCTTAACTATTATTACCCCTTGTTGGGGTAATAGGACCAATAGGGAATGTTGACTGGCTGTTTAAAGGATGTTTTAAAAAATTTACCAGTGTCAGGGTGCCTGGGTAGCTCAGTGGGTTAAGCTAAGCCTCTGACTCTTGTTTTCGGCTCGGGTCATGATCTCACGGTTTGGGAGTTCCAGACTGGCATCGGGCTCTGCATTCACAGTGCGGAGCCTGCTTGGGATTTGCTGTCTCTCCCTCTCTCTGTGCCCCTCTCCTGCTCTCTCTCAAAAATAAATAAATAAAAACTTTAAGAGAGTTAACAAAAAAATTTACCAGTGTCAGTATGCGCATTTGTTGGAGTGGGGGTGGGGACAGTGTTGGAAGAGAGATAGGGAAGGGAGAGATGTTAGCTTTGGGATTGAGAAAGCAAGGTATGAGGAGAAGAAGGATGGCAGTCTGTGTTCAGTGAGTGATTCGTTTGGCACGTAACTCCAAATTTATTGATTTAAACCCAAATAGCCTAATTAATTGTTATAATTTCAGACTGATGGACACAAAGAAGTACAGTATAGACAAGGCTAATGGTGACCAGCTGTTCACCATTTCCACTGAGCAAACCAAGCCAAACTCTAATGTGAAGACTTCAGGTTAGTAATAGCAAAAGTTCACCTGTGGTGAGGTTAGAAAGGACAAAAAAAAAAAAAAAAAAAAAAAGTTCCCTAACAAAGGAACAAAAGACTAGAATGCCCTCTTTGGGTATGTTTAAAAATAGGTTGAGTCTTATCTTTTTAGGAAGATTTAATGCTGTCCTGCTGAAAACCAAGGAGATACAAGATGAGCTCGAAACCCCTTTGAGCCTATAATTAAAGAATTTTGTGATGGCTTGCTTTCAGTTAAAGATACCCATGCTTGTCCTTTTAATAGGTGGAGGGGAGGCTGCTTGCATTGCTTTGCTTTGGTTAAGTAGGGAATCACTACCTATGGAGACGCTAATGAAAGGGAACACTTACCCCAGTTCCCACCCTTCCCCCTACCCCCATGTAAGTATTCAAAGGGCTACACTCATTATATTCACCTTGTGACTTTGGAAGGTCTTATCATGCTTACTTGCAAAGTCTTGGATTTCCAACAGAAACTAAACTCTCCCGAGAGAATTAAAGTTTCCATAGAGAAGAGAGGTTTTCTGCCTTAAGGATTCTTTAAGACCTACCACTCTCCTGGAAGATGACTATGGTGTTATGGGACTCCCAATTTGATTCAAACTAAGCATCCATCTCCAATAGCTGTAAAGACCCCAGATCTGCCCAAGGGTATGAGCCTTCTTGCCTGATGGGCTGTGAAAATGCCCCATTAGGTGGGCAGATGCCTTTCTTAATCACCTCTGTTTTGGGTGGTGGACAAAAATGTATAGTCACCCTGTATCATTTTACATCAAAAAGGGAAATACGTCTCACCAAGCAGAGTTCATAAACATTGGAAAGTTTAGGGTTGATGCTAAAATGAAGGAGGCGGGGGAGCAGACAGAGTGGGATGATAGATTAGGCATAAGTGAAAGCTTCCCCTGGAGTCCTTTCTCTGGGCTTGCCCATTGCTCTTAGCTACAAAAAGTTAGTGTTGTCAGGCACAGCACGGAAAGAAGGCCACCTCATAGAAGGATCTTAAAAGGGAGGGAAACCCCAGTGCTACTCACCAGAAGCTAAATATAACTTTTAAATATTGATAATGCTCTTTTGTGAAGGTACCGGATTTCATATCCCAGAATAGAAGGTAGGGTTTTGCAGTTCGGAACTCAGTGAATTAGCAAGCACAGCACAAGAGTCTGTTTAATTTGTAAAAGAACTTACTGTAGACTACCAATTAATGTGTCTGTGGTTGTAAATATACACATGAATCACGTTTTATATGTGTGTTAACACTGCTTGAGGAGTTTGTAAACTATTAGTCTTTGCATAGCACCAAGGAGCAGATAATATGAAGTGGAGGAAATGAATTTTATTGCTGCTGGAATGATTTGTGTTTCTGTATTCATGTGATTATCACAAACATTCGTGTAGGTGTTACTGAATTTCATATATGCTTCAGATTCCTGAAGTTCTTACATACAAAAAACAGCTAGGAGAGAGACAACTAAAGCCTACAAGTACAGGGGGGAGCTCCCTGGCTCTCCTCTCTCTAAGTATCTGGCTCGTCTCTCCAGGTGCCCCTGTGCTTACAATACCTATTAGGCCTGGAAAACTGGAGTGAGGAGCACATGACAAGTCCCTAAGAATTTCCACAAAGTGATTCCTACCTTCCTCTGGATTCTCCTGGACTAGCTGGATAGTGGAATCCAGAGAGGCTACATGAACATGGGGTCTGTTGACTCATTTCCCACCCCCCCCTTGTTACTGTTGATGAAAACTGTACCAAGTTCTCAAAGAGATTCATATTTATGCATTGTGGGACACAAATAGGAATAGGATATACTAAACAACCATTTATCTCATCTGTCCATTATAGGTGTGATCCTTGAATACTGATTTCATATGGTGTCTGCCCAGTGCAGAGAGCTATATGCTAAGAGACTCTGGTACTTTATAAAGGCAACAGAAAGACTAGCTAAGGACGATTTAATCTGCACTTAGAACTACTGGTAAATGTTATTCAATAGTTAACTTAAAGCAATAATGCGTATCTAATTACCCAAAAAGTAATAAGGTTCTGATATTAACTTATAATCCTCATTGACAAGGAAACTGATGGAAATCTAGTTTAGATGTGAGTATCAGTTAAGAGCTGCATTTGATTCAAAGAAACAGCTTAAACATATTAGGGGTTTCTTTTTCTGTCACATAAATGAAGCATGGAGGAAAAGAGTCCAGAGGTAACCTGAAGTTGTAACAGTGCTGTGAGCAGCTCAGACTTCTGCTTTTCTGCTCCACTCTCCACCAGCTTCCATCCATCCTCAGGATTTCCTCATGGTCATAATATGGCTGCTGGTGCTCCTGCAGGGGACGACAAAATGGTGCCTGGTAACTGAGAAAACCTCCTATAAAGAGCTTTTCTTATAATTTCCACCCAATAACTTCTGCCTATATCTATGTCAAATCCTATTACAGGAGTGCTAGAAATAGAGTTTTCTAGTTGAGGCTCCCCCACCAATGTAGGGGTTCTTCTAGTACAGAGGGAGCAGAGAATGGATATTCAGTTGGCATGAGTCATCTCTGAGGTGGTCTGATTAAAATAAATGGCTGGTTCAGGTCCTCTTTTTTTTTTTTTTTTTTTTTTCATCAGTGGATCTTTTTTCTCTTCTATGCCATATGTGTTGGCAATGTCCCTTTGTTGTATGAGGGTACTTAATACCAATTTCAGAAAATTTTCAGCCTTTCCATCTGCAGTTGTATAAGCTTAGCTAACTCCTTAAGCACATGCTTTTTAACATCTGTATTCTTAAGTCCTAATAATTACAGAAATCTGCTTAGGGAGGGAATTTAACGGGGTTTGCTCTTCTTCCCGTAGAATGCAAATTGTGCATGCATGTTTTCTGGGAAATGATTGTCTTCCCTTTTACGTAGTAGCATCTGTCCTCTGGTTGTTCTGTCTCCATAGCTCTGCCTTCTGCCCCTGGCATTTGGGTGGAAGAAGACAACCCCCAGCAGAAATGCACTCTCTGATAGTTTCTACCTGCATGGAGCCAGGATTTTACTCTTCATCTACTTCGAACCATACTGTTGTAGACCACAATAGCTTCAGCGTAGATGAGGGAGGAGAGAAGAGGGGGGTGAGTGCAATAGAATGGGAACAGAGGGACCAATCTCAAAGGCTGGAATTAAAAAGTGAACCCTGTAAGAGAATGCAGCTCTGGAGCACTTTCGTATGCCCAGGTATTCAGACACTTGTCCTACGAACCTTATTTAGTTCTCTGGACTCTTTGATCTAGGCACCATGAACTCCACTTTGCAGATGGACAAACTCAAGTTTAGAGACTTTAGGTAACTTGTCATTGCCATGTAGCAAATAGGGAATCTAAGGCCTGAGGTTCCTATTGTCACTATCTGGTCTAGGGTTCTAACAACCACCTTCTCCTCTCAGCCCTCAGGGGGATACCCCACCCAAACCTTCTACCTTTCTTGGTAAAGCCCCCCTAGGTCACAGGAGCCATCAGCAGAGGCTGGTTATAATTGCTGAGACAAGGGGAAGAGGGTGGGGTGAGGCATTCTTGATCTTGTGCAGTGGTGTCCTGACATTTGAGTTGGAATTCTGGGTGTATCTCCCCGCAGACAGCTGTGTGGATGAGAGTTGTGGTTAGTCCACTGGAATATTTACTGTGCTTATAGATGCTGTGCACTGTGATGGGCACTGAGGATTCAATATTGAACCTTGCCTTCAACGACCGTCCAATCCAATAGATCAAAATTTCTCTAAGAGGAGAGATCACTAAGGAAGCTAAGTGGTTATCCTAAAGCCATTTCCTGTTCCCAAGGTAGTACTCAGATGCCTCCTCTTTGGTGCATTTGAGATACACTTACAGCTATGCTTCTCTAGTAACACACTTTAGAAATCACTACAGAAAGTGTAGTCAGTGGCCTCAGTCTATGGGTAAGCCCCTGTTCTCCTGTAATCAAAACATTCCTGTATGCAAAGAAAATGCTGTCTGCCCTGCTCCTGTAAACTGTCTAGACCATTATTACCCTCCCCTGGTTTGGCCAAACTCCCTGATGTTGGTGGGAATGCTCCTTCAACAGCATCCTCTGCAAGTACGTACAACTTCACTTTATGTGCTCTTGATCTGCAGTCTGTGATTCTGTCATCTTCTATTACCTGTATTGTGACCTTCTCTCCTTTTGGCTTAGTGTTTGAACTTTCTCTCTTTGAACTTTGCCCTGTGGATTAACATTTGGTTTTCATCCTTGGTGCTCCACACCTCTGAAGTCCCTGATAAGTAGCTCCTGTTCCATCCCAGTCCTCAGCCCTCACCCTGACCCCAGCTGCTGGGTCATTGCCCCAAAAACTCCCTTTTAGGTTGAAATTTGGACACAGCCTGGCTTAATTAATTTCATCTGCTCCAGAGCTGGCTAGAGCAGTTTTGAAAAAGATGATAGCTCATTACAGTGGCTCATAACCTCCAGGGTACAGATTTTTACATCCCGCAAAAGGGCACATCTTTTTCACCATCATGCTGTCAATTTCTTTTGTTCATTTTTGGTCTCGGCCTTTCAATCTGGAAAGGGGCCTGGCTGGGCTAGCAGCTTGGGGAGGTCTGATGTCCACATCCCTTCCCAGCTACATGGGACCAGATGGCAAAGTTAGCAAGATTGCCTGACCTTAAAACCAAAATCTCAGTGGTCATTTTTGACCCCTTCATCTCTCTCACTCCCTCCATTTAGTTAATAACAATGTCCTATAGATTCCGCTTCTTAAATGTACCTTGAATCCATCCTTTTCCCCATCCTCACTGCCTGCACTGTGGACCAAGCCCCCCTAATCTCTCACCCCAACTACTGCAAGAACTTACCTTCCTAACAGTTGGAGCTTAGTAAGGAAAACAGAAACCACTTCAAATATTTCAGGTAGGAGGGACTTAACAGGGGGGATTAGAAGTGTACATAACCTTTGGATACATAAGCTGGGGTAATCAAGCCTGGGAGAAACTGCTGCTGACCTCCAGCAAATGTTGACAGTCAGAAGTTTAATGAAAACCTGGATGCCACTGAGCTCAGCTGCCTGCCTTGCTGAGGAGGCTGACCTGCAG